GGGCTTTAAAGTCAAGATTTAACCCACTGTGTTGTTCATATAGGTCACAAATCTGTGGCCATGCATCATATCCAAACTAATATAGTGCCCCCTTCTGACAAGACAAACTAAAATGATGCTTCATGCCATGCTGTCCTCAGTTAGTTTTCAATGATGTGTATTACTTATAAGTATTTCAATTTTAAGTTCCCTGAAGTGTAAAATAAACCTCAGAAGTGAACATGAAGGCATCTTTATCCACTGATTGGAACATAATTATTCTCTTATCATTAAATAGACAAGGCAAACTAGTTAGTAATTATTACAATAAAAGTAAAATCATCATATCTCCAGGAAATTTCTAATTCTTCCAATTCTGCTTTCTAAAATCTAATTTAAAATACTGACTTATTTCATAAGAAATCCACAGAGGAGGTTAGTTCAGTCTTTGTAGTGTTCACATAAGAAGATACCAGTGTATCGTGGCACACCCTTGATTTGGCTTTCCCTGGTGGGAACTGTTTGATAACATTGAGGTGGGTTTTATCATATCAACCTTTAACAAACTGTCACTTGGGTGGAGCTGCATAAGTGAATGTGATTGGAGCTGGAGGAGAAAATGTCACATAAACCCAAACTTCAAGCAGGCCATTTGTTTTCTGTCTTGTAGGTATTGGTCAGGGGGTACCTGTTGTGGCCCTCATCTTTGAGGGGGGTCCCAATGTGATACTTACTGTGTTGGAGTACCTTCAGGAGAGCCCTCCTGTCCCAGTGGTGGTGTGTGAGGGGACGGGGCGAGCAGCTGACATATTGGCCTACGTCCACAAGCAGACCGAGGAGGGAGGGTAAGACACACATGCAAAGACATGGAGTGGGTGGGGCAAAGAAAATTAAGCCTGTGATTGGTGTGTCAGTGTTAAAGAAATTTAAAATATGTTTTTTTAATTATTATCACTAATGAAATAATAGAGAGATTATAGAGGAGAAGGGAATGAATAAAGAAACAGTACAATTATCCTACTGCGTCCTGTTATTATAGGCATGTCGTTTTAAATTTTAAATCCACAAGAAAACGGGAAAAAAACAACTCCTTTTGAAAAAGCGGTGACATACACGTAGAAGACACTGATATGGATTTCCAGAGAGTTTGTGGTGATAAGAGCTGATGAAGGTGTCAGGCACTGTAAAAAAGATCATGGGATCTTCGCAGCTGACTTAATACGTCACTTCCTGTCTCTTTCTGCTGCGTTCTCCACATCTAGCCTGAATAATGCAGAGGACTTGTTGCTGTCTGTGCAGAAAACCTCCCACTGAGTTGTGCATGTGTGAAAGGAAAATGCTGGGTAAACTCCATAGCCAATTCTCTGGATTTTACCCGGAGGTCATGTCTGAAAACGGCTAATGACGTGGACGACTGAGAATCTGGAGAGATTCGTGCTTGGATGAAACCTATCAAGCATTTTCTAGCGGCGTGTTTCATGCAGTGTAAGTGTGACCATGTAACAATGTCATTTTCTACAGCGGTCTTCCTGATGGAGTGGAGACTGACATCATTGCAACCATCAAGAAAACCTTCAACTTCAGCCAGAGCGACGCCATCCACCTCTTTCAAACTCTAATGGAGTGCATGAAGAGCAAAGAACTGGTGAATCCCTGCTCTTTCATTTTTTCAGTCTCTTCATTCTCTCATTTAATTTAATTATTTTATACTGACAGTGAATGCAACAGTTCAATAAACGTACATAGAATCCTCTAATACAATTCTTCTGACACAACTTCCGACAGGTCAGCCTCATCAGCTGAAGGTTCCACTGGTAGTTTTTTATAAATGAAATGTATCACATGGATAATGTCTATGGGAACATGGCAGTAAGTGCTCTCTTCTTTCTTGGAAAACACCAGATCACAGTGTTTCACATCAGCTCAGACGAGCACCAGGACATTGACGTAGCCATTCTGAGGGCATTACTCCAAGGTTAGTAGATGATTTCTCTCCAAGATCCTCATCCCACCCCCACCCTCCTCTCTCTCTCTCTCTCTCT